CTGCAAGCACATACCATCATCTCTCCTGCCCAAGCACACTAGCCTGCAAGCACATACCATCATCTCTCTTCACCAAGCACACTGGCCTGCAAGCACATACCATCATCTCTCCCCACCAAGCACACTAGCCTGCAAGCACATACCATCATCTCTCTTCCCCTGGCAGCACACTGACCTGCAAGCACATACCATCATCTCTCTTCCCCAAGCACACGGGCGGCTTTTCCTCAAGTGTGTTTGGTCGTTTATTGATTTATTTTAAATGTCAGATGGTGTTGGCTGTTATTTTGCCTCGCTTTGTAATGACGTGGTTGCTGTCTAATGTTTTGTTAAATACAGCGAGTACTTGCTATGGTGTGTAGGTGCGTTACTTAAAAATGCGGGGCATACGATGAGATAATATATAATCTGATATAATGTAGCAACGCTGATGTGATTCCGTGAAAGCATCTAATACCAGCTCAGACACATGCTAATTTTACACCATACCAGATGGCTAGAAGCAACGATCTATCTCCAGACTGCTGGACAGATAAACAGCTACTAATAGACAACCGCGTGCAACCACACACACCGTTAGTTTTCACAGGGTTTAGTTTCACGCTGCACACTAGTGACATGTAGTTTGCGTTATAGATTAACACCACACATTACACATCTAAAGCTATCTATATCGCCTCTATTCTTAAATTGCCCCTATGTGCCATCAGCCCTACGTCATACGATGAGATAATATATAGCAGAGAGGGTATGATTGGTGTGTTTGTAGTCGGAGCGTGAGTGTGTATAGGCATTTGAAGGCATGTGCTGTATCTCGCACCAAGCTTTGTATTGATCAGACAACATTCAACTGAAATCTCGCGTAAAGCAGGGGTCCACGCAGCGATCCCTCACTGCCACTGATTCTCCTCATCCTTTTACGACTACTTCTCGTGCGTGCGTGCGTGCGTGCGTGCGTGCGTGCGTGCGTGCGTACGTGTGCGTGCATGCGTCTGTGGGCGGGTAGTTTAACGTTGTCATGCTCGGAGAACGTTGAGTGTGTGTTCTTCCCCCCCAGGACTCGACGGATTGTCAGAGAGGTGCGCTCAGTACAAGAAGGACGGCTGCGACTTTGCGAAGTGGCGCTGCGTACTGAAGATCGGGCACAACACCCCGTCTCCACTCTCCATCCTGGAGAACGCCAACGTACTCGCCAGGTAGGCGATCCGTCGCCGACGCGCGGGCGGCAGCTTCCGCCATCGTGTCCGACCGTCCAGTACACCAGTTACCGCCGTCAACGTCATCGTTAGGTTCCTGAAAGTCGCGACTTTAACCGAAGCGGCGTTAAACGAAGCGCTCTGCGATCTGATCGCGTTTCCAACAAGGATGGCTTTCATATATTATATATAAAATATAAATGATATATTAAATATATTATATATTATATTGTATATAAAAGTTTATAATTCACTCACGTCTAAGTTTCAAACACATAAAATTTTTATAAAACAATAAAGCAAACATCCGTCGTTAAGTAAAGGGTAAAATTAGATACGGTACATAGATTAGTTCTCATAATTATATAGATATTGAGCCGCGAGAAACTTGCTCTTACCTTCAGGTACGCAAGCATCTGCCAGATGAACGGTCTCGTTCCGATCGTCGAGCCGGAGATCCTCCCCGACGGAGACCACGACCTTCGAAGAAGCCAGAAGGTCACCGAGAAGGTAACTACTAATGTACTTCTGTCCTGTAACAGTAAGGGTAACTAAGGGAGAGAGAGAGAGAGAGAGAGAGAGAGAGAAAGAGACAGAGAGAGAGCGAGAGAGAGCGAGGTAGAGGTAGAGGTAGAGGTAGAGGTAGAGGTAGAGGGATAGGGGGAGGGAGAGGTAGAGGTAGAGAGAGAGAGAGAGAGTAGTTGTTCTGGTTTTGGAGATTGCGATGACAGACGGTGTAGTATTTCGGTTTCCAGACTTTTTTCTTATTCCCTGTTTCTTGTATAGAAGCAGCTTCTCCCTCTCGCTTGTTACTGCTAGGAAGATCATGGCTCAGGTGTTCTAGTGTGCACGCACGGACGTATACGTTTGTGGAAGGTGTAGCGTGAGTTCTGCCTTGCTGAAAACCCTTTATTAAATGCGTGGGATGCATTCTGAGACGGGTTTACTTGAACTTTCATTGACTCCTGTTTTACTGAAGCATGGAATTAATTTATGCACACGGGGCGGCGCAGTGTGAGTGAGAGAGTGGGCCTCTGCAATGCCGATCAGGGGGTTTCAGTCAATCGTTGAACTGCCAACTTGTCTATAATGCAGAAGCGATTCGTTCTTTTGTCTCGGTTACCTCCATTTTGAGAGCTGCGAGCGTGGCTGGGAATTGTAAGCGAGAGCCGCAGCAAGCATGCATGCATGCGTTCAATACAGGATTCACTAAAAATACATGGGGGTGTGTAGTGTGCACGTGATCTCAAGGTCTCCAGCTCAGAGGAGACTGCTGCTTACAGATTCAGAGACGCCACGGTGCCTAGGGCTGTTGTTGGAAGGATCGAAGAGTTGCGATATAAAATCAGTGCGCGTATAACTCTACGATAAGTTGTGATTCGATGAGCGATTGCAATGCAATGCGAATGCATGGTGTAATGTTTCGGCTTGTTTGTCGTAGTCGCAAAGCTTTCTAGTTGTTGTGTGTTCGCTGATACGGTGACAGCAAGTTCTGAGGTGTATCACATGGTATCTTGTTTGATTTTATTGTAGGTGCAGAAATGAGATTGGTCACCGCTGAACAAGATAGTTTTTTATAAAAATTGATGGTCATTGTGCAATTGTGAAAAAACTGTTCAATATCTTTAAATAAGTTTATTCGGTTGGTAGATAATAGGTCTATCTTGGTTAATTTTTTCTCACTATGACGTTGGCAGCAGTACGTTTTGATCAACGCAGGTGAATAAAAGTTAACCAAGATAGTTCAATATCTGCTTTCAAAATGTGAATTTTAACCTCCTGGCAGCGTAAATGAATTTTCTTGTTTTTCCATCTAATTATTAACTATTGTGTTACGAAAAGGGTGTGTAACCTATTGAAAGTTTTTTTAATGAGTAAGGTTGTTTTAACAATGCTGGAGTGGTTAGCATCTTGTCACAGTACTGCTCATAGGGTCTCTGTCCCCCAGGGTACGTTCCGGCAGTACCCTGGGGGACATAGACCCTCTCAGCCACAGTACCTTCTTCCAGCTCTATTCTCCACGAGGAGAGAAGGAACTAAGATGTACCCTCTTCACTCTCACGCACGTTTAACGTGGAGGCGTCGTCTCTTGCAGATCTCAGTGATATTCGTAGAAGATGGCTGTTCACCTGACCACCGAACTTAAGGCGGAACTGAACCGCATTGCCAATGCCATCACGGCTCCCGGCAAGGGCATTCTGGCCGCAGATGAGTCCACCGGTGAGTACGATGCACATGGCGCCATCTCCGGGCAAACGAATGAATGAAATTGAACAGAAATATGCCTATAAAATGACAATTTTCATGAAAATCGTCCGAGTACCAATTAAAAATGTCATGGCAGTAGCGAAAGTGCCGACGATACTGGTCGGGTGTATGCCGCGCCATCACCGAATAGAATGAAATTTAACTAGGTTACGTCTACGAAAACGTGGAAATTTCGTGAGAATCGTCCGTGTACTAATGATAAAGTATCTAAATGTCGAATGCCTGAATGTCCGAAAACTGAAAAAATCACAGCGTCAGTAAAAATGATGACAATACTAGTTGGGCGGGGCGTATTGTACCATTTCACAGCATTTGTCTGAGCACGCTCGAAGGTTCATCGTACAAGACAAATGTTGCCACGAGTTGCACGCGATTCTTGTCCTCGCAAACGCAACGCAAATCGTAACCCTGGTAGTTTTCAACATTTCTACGCACCGTTCTATATAATATTATTATTTTTATTAATATCTTTCGGGAAATTGGCATAAAGTAGTGAATAGCGGGCGCAACTAAACCCGACGCCAGCTAGCGGCGCGGACGCGCGGTCGGTGCTGCCCTCTCGCGAGGCGTTGAACAGTGGCGCCCTCTTGCAGGCACGATGGGTAAGCGTCTTGCGAACATCGGAGCGGAGAACACGGAGGAGATGCGTCGTCAGTACCGGCAGCTGCTGTTCACGCAACTCGGGCGAGAGTCGTCGCTGAGAACATCTTCCGGAGTTATCCTGTTCTCACGAGACGCTCTACCAGAAGGCTTGACGACGGTGAGTGCTGACGATGATGGTGGTGACGGTGATGATGATGATG